TCTTCATGTGTTTCAGTTTTCGCAGGGTAGATCTCTTTAGCAGCGTTGGCAGCTCTTTTTCCACAAAAAATCACTTTTGGATGACTTGGAGTGTTCTTTCCAGAGGTACGTTGATGACTAGTGACTCAACATCAAACGAAACATACTTATATCTTTTTCCGAAGAGGAGAATTAATGTTAGCATGGGTGCTCCACTTGTAGCGAACATTATTCTAAGTTTCTAACAGAATTTGAACGAATCATAATTAATCCAGGCATTAATTAGTAGCGGTATCATTAAAGTATATTGCCGCTATGTACACTATTAACTTCTTATTAACCGAACGCGAGATCTGTGGAGAGAAATATTGGATCCAGGTCTTTTTTGTACAGACTGAGTCCGTAAGGCGAGATTTGTACAAAAAGACCGAAGTCCGATATTTCTCTATGTATACCGGAGCAGGCGAGGTTAATAAAAAGTTTATTATATGGCATTTATAGGCATTTATACTTGAAACAAACAAGAAATGCATGATTTGAAATGCATATTAGCAGCGTGGTACACATTTGGTCGAATAAAACAAAAAATACCAATGTATTCCTACTTTTCCACTAAAAACTATTCGCAGATATCTTACTAATAACAAATTAAATTATAATTTTCAATTAGTTTTGTTGTTTTGTTTTGAAATGCATGCGTTTGTTTTTACGTAATGGACCCGCCGGTCCATTAGGAGAAAGTACTGGACCGCTGAAAGTGCTTCTCAGCCAATCACAGTCCGCCATTTCACCGGAAGTGATGCTTGCCATATAATAAAACTAATTAAACATGCTGACATTGACTTCGAATTACAAATCATTTCCTCAAATTCATCACACAAAATAATGATAAAAGCGAGAAAATACTGAAGTTTTGTTTGAATATTTTTTTGTGTTATTTTTTATTCCAATGTTTACCCTCTTTATAGGTTTATGGTGACGGTTTTCAAAGTTTAGCATGTGTATTCCTCAGACGTTTGACAGAAGGATCTTTACATTAACGGCATACGAATTAGCAATATCGGGCAAATGAGCAAATTAATTCGAAGGTTAATTAATTCGAAGGCTAATTAATAGGGCTAGTTAATTCGAAGGCTAATTAATTTGAAGGCTAATAGCACGTTATTCCGTGACATTAAATGTTCAATATGGAAAAGAAATACTCTTTATTATAAGCTATCCTTAATTATTTTAACACGTAATATGAAAATATAATTTAATTATTATTTATATATTATAAAGCTTATATATATTAAATAAAGATATATAATATCCTATACAAGTCTGTTTCCACTATTGGGGAAGCACCTCAAATATTTTTCAGGTCGTTAGTAAGTGAACATTGACCTTGCACAAAGATTGCCTCTGTTGAGGTGTTTTGAATATTAAGGTTTAAACTTGAAAGTAGTTTAGTTGACAAATTTTAAATGAACTTTAACTTAACTTGGGTAAAAACACAAAGCTCCTCAAAAATGTCCAAGGTTTGATAATCATCAACTCTCTATTTCCTATTGTTTTAGAAAGGAAAGTTTCATTAATAAATGTGCAATGGACTGTTTACACGGAAGTTGGGTGGCCCCAGCAGAAGGGTTATCCTAGTCTATTGTTTTTAAACAAATAATAATTGTTCAGAAAATCATATCCAAATCAGAAAATATTTAATTTAAAAAAGTGTAGGGAGCCACCTTAACTACCTTTTTATACAACCAGCCCCATATATATAAATATATAATTGACCATGCAATGATCAGGTTGCACTCGACTGTGAGTCGGCTCATTTCTTTATCGTGATGCTAAGAATGACTAACCTTGGTATCATTCATTTGATATTCAAAATCAGACTCTTCAATCTTCTGTGAGTACACCGCACTATCAGGACTGTTAAACCCAGACAATCTCCAGTTAAAACGATCTGTACTCACGGTCGGTGACGTTGGTGAATTGTGGAATGAATTTAAACGCCATGCTAGCTCTTCTTTTTCTAAGGAAAGTCTCTTGGACGTTGCAACTTCACGATCCAAACTTAAACGCAGTTTATCTCGTTCCAAAGAAAGTTGTCTGAAAAAGGAAGATTATTAAAATCCAAAAGATTAATGTAGCCATCATCACTAATCATTCACATGATGACTACAATTTATTCGAATCGAACCTGCCGATTCTGGTGCAGCTCGCTAACCTGCAGCTCGCTAACCTGTCAGGGTTTCACTACATAGTCCACTTGCTGAAGATTAACCGCAAGGGTAAATATCAGGATTTTGCTTGTGGTTAGAGCTCGACAAGTGGACTCTGTAACTCAATTGGTCCTAGCGCATGTACCAGAATTGCAGAGCCAGCATGTTCGATTCCTACCAGAGGGCCTAGACATGGAGTGTGCAGAAATTTCGTATTTTGATATCGATTTAGAGAATAACACTATGGTTTCATGAACTGATAACTTGTTTAAAAAACTGGAATTAGCTGGGAAAATGGTATAAAAACAGTTTACGACATTCAGAGCAATTGGACGTCAATTTGCGCCATCTTGGCTTCACTTGTCTCATTGGCCGAATGACTCAAGTTCTTGCTATAGGCATATATAGAGCTCACTGCATGAACGAAGACTACTTCAAGGCATGCATACAAACTTCACTACCTTTCAAAATGAACTTTATTTTCAACAACGAAATTCAGGGATTCTTTCTCACGTTCTAATAAAGCAGCTCGTTGCTTGATTTGCTGGAGATCGTCAATCTGGTAAACAAAAAATAATATCAAATTGAACCTGCCTGCTTGATACACCCTTCCGGAAAGCGTTCAGTCTTGGTCATACAGCCTCGTTTTCGTGATTGAGATATTGGGTTTAGAACTTTTTATCTTGTTGACATATTTACAAAATCATGCAGTTACAATAGATAATCTGAAGGGGCTCCAAAGCCAAGATATCAATCGAGGCTCTATAGCAAAGACTGAGCACTTTTTCAGAAGGGTGTATTCAATACAACTAGGTGGCCGAATAGTTAATCACAAAAACAGTCCAAATATATTTCATTCATGCAAACTTCATTCATATATAATTTAAGGTGGTCAATACAGCTTTTTAAAAAATGGAATTCACAATTTAGATTTTTGGACAATTATTACTTGTTGAAAAACATATTTCCAGATGGCGGATATTTTGGCTTTAAAGTAATTTAATTCGAAAACGACATCGATAACGCCCAAGTTACACAGATTGAAAGTTTTTTCTGGTAATAGCCAAATATCGCCAAACGCAATACATTCAGTGAATTCAATACCAGCATTCTAAACAGAAATACCTTATGGTGAAGCTCAGCATTACTTCTGCGTAATTTCTTTACTTCGGTATTTTTCATTTCTAAAACAAACTTCATACTTTCCAGTTCATCTGGAAGACTCTTGTATTTCGCAATCGCATCCTGAAATTCAAATAAATTTTGAAGATACTTCACCTTGCAAACAAAAGCCATCTATAACCTCACTCCCTGTGAGTTGACAGACTGGATTTCCTAAAATCGTTTTTGGTATTGAAGCACAGAGAATTAGGAGTTGATCCTGGTTAAACGTGCTGAAATTGTTTCGCGATCACATGGCAAGTTTCAGCGCGGGCTGAGTTAAAATTTCAGTTCAAACCGGGATAAAATCTCAGTCCAGGCTCAAACGATCAAGTCTCCAAATGGAGATTATCGACTTCTGCGAAATTGTGGTTGCATTTAAAAATAGGATAGACAGAAAGCCACTTAAATCATTTACTTAAACACTGGCGATTTTCAGTTCGGTCAACTGGGATGGATAGAACCAACCCAGCCCTGGATGAAATATTTGTCAGGTTGTGTTTCACTTGGTGTGTTCCAAGGCTGCGTTCCAAGACTGCGTTCCAGTCACGCGTTTTTATACACACGGAAAAGTTTTTTTCAATTTAACACTAGTATGAATTACTTGTATAAATGCACATTAAATCATTCACCAAACTATATGCTTTTATTCAATCAGTTATTTCATAAGTAACATTTAAAAATGTTGCAACTTTTCCGTGCGTATACGCATGTATGAAAAACGCGCGACTGGAAAGTAGTCTTCAATTAACACTTATTTACTGGGAGCGAGGGAAACAGTATGTTTTGTGGACCCAAGACCGGCGAAACATCGACGGTCGAGGATCCATAAAAGCTCCCAAAGAGGAAAGACCCTGGGTACGAGGTTGGAATTTAACCAGGCAATATGGTTGAATTATTAACCACGAATTCTTGGTTAACATTTCACCGACGTAATCTGGTTAATTCAGCCATGTATGGCCTGGTTAAATTATACCCAGGAATCCTGGTTAAATTAGTGATCATCAACTTAGCCAGGACTGTGGTTAAATTAACCAGGAAATTTTAAACCCGTGTATTTTTAGAGTGCAGTAATGACCATTGAGACTTGGTCACTTACTTGGATTCTTAGTTCAATGTCCCGTTTTGCCTCCTCCTCGGTAATTCTTAATTTCTCGACCAGTTCATTACAAGTCCTTTCCGATTTTGACAAACTTTCCTGAAATAGAATATTATTTGAACCCGTGTTTGAATATCAATTTGATGCGTAGGTTGAAAAAATTCGTCAAGAGCTCTATATAGTCAAAGACACCGAAACATATGCTGACATCATGCGATGGAGTTGACATACTAGCAGATTAGAGCCAGCAAATGATGTTAATTTGGGAATCTACAAAAATTACTATACATTGATTTCACACTTTACTATGGTTCAATTACCAACTACGCCCTTGTGAGGCAGCCATGGTTTAAAACTATTGCTTTCCACGTTTTATATGAACGTTTCAAATGACCTCATTCTCTCAGTTTTACTTCGAAGTTTAGTAAAAAGAACTGTACAGAATGACTTGTGACTTCTTGTGAGTTGACTAAGTCACAGACAGAATGACTTGTGAGTTGTCTCAGAGTGAATGACGTGCGACTTGACTTGGACTTGCAAAATATGACTTGTCAACAACTTTGACTACTCAATACGAGCTTTGAAGTAAAATCAAAACAGAATGAAATTCTAGAAATCGTTTTATTTGTTCCTCCTACCTGGATTTCTTCAAATTGTTCATCGTAATCAGCTTTGATCGTTTCAATTTCAGCATGACGTTCTTCCACGAGATCTTAAAATCACAAAAAAGCACGAAGTAATCGTCAGAGCATCCCTATTTCAAATAAACGTGCTTCAAACTGTATAAATAAATCAAAACCCTCGTCTCTGGCATCTGAGGATGAACCCGTTACATTAGACATCGTCTGTTTTCGCGCGAAACATATATGCTTGCAGGTGACAGGTTTTTTTGTCGTCAGCTAGGTGTTGTGTGTGAGTAATGTCCTCAGGTCGCACTTTTGACCTGCGGTTACTACTCCTAGTAATAATAATTTTCACCATCAATATTGAATGGACCTACCATCAACGTGTTTTGAATGTTGGGATTCCAATTCAGCGATAACATCTTTGTGTTTTTCATTAATTTGAGCAATATCTTCCACATATGTTTCTTCAATCCGTTTTAACTAAACATTACCAAGCGCAATAGAAAAGAGAGAATTAAGCAACAAAGTAACATAGTAACACGTCAAAATGGCGCAAATTAAAAGTAAAGGATTGAAATCATTTCCAGTTTGGAAGTTCGAAGTGCAATTTGGTGAAATTTCCACTTACCTTCAAGTCACAACTATGTTTCACGTCCTCCATCGACTTCATGTGTTGTTTCCGTACTAGACATTAGAGCATGAAATAGATAACGTTAGGGTCTGTTTATAAGGCTCAGTTAGGCAGAAGTTGTTCTGTTGTTCAGAAGGGTTACCCCACCAAGAGGGTAAAAAAATAGCGAGTGTTTAACATGAGGTAGGGTTAACCTACCACTAGGACTATGTTGGTAACCCTACCTATGCGTGGTCGTTAAGCCAGCTGTTGCTTGCTGCATTTCAATGCTGTGGGCTATTAATTTGTGTGTTACTGTCACTAGGGAAGACTACAGACAGAAATGAATTTCCGTACATTGGCCCTACTCCTAGGGTAACCCTAGCGTGCAATTAAAAGCAACGCGCAAAAAACACAGTAGACTAGGGTAACCAGCTTACTAGGGTAACCAGCTTACTAGGGTAACCAGCTTACTAGGGTAACCAGCTTACTAGGATAACCAGCTTACTATGATAACCAGCTTACTAGAATAACCAGCTTACTATGATAACCAGCTTACTATGATAACCAGCTTACTAGGGTAATCACCTTACTAGGATAACCAGCTTACTAGGATAACCAGCTTACTAGGATAACCAGCTTACTAGGATAACCAGCTTACTAGGATAACCACTAGGATAACCAGCTTACTAGGGTAACCAGCTTACTATAGGGTAACCAGCTTACTAGGGTAACCAGTAAGCCTAGGGTAATCACTAACCAGCTCACTAGGGTAACCTGATCGGGTTACCCTAGTAAGGGTAACCCACGGGGCCGCAGTAATTGGCCAAGGCTCGGTTACGGACTCCCTGCCATTAATTGTATTATATTTATTTATTTACAAGGCAAAGCTAATAAATTAAATTAAATTAAATTGATTTAATTACCTACCTCCATGTAAACAGGCCCTTAAATAATAAACATATTTTGGCGATAACAATACAAATCTCTCTGGTTCTTTTTTTATTTTACCTTTTTCCAAATCTTTCTTATGAGTCTCTTTCAGTTTGGCATGAACTATTTCTTGTTTCCGCTCGTATTCTGCTCTTAGTAATGCCACTTCTACAACACTGTCACTCATTGCTGAGAGCATTTCTTCCTCGAGACGAACTCGCTGGCTACTTTCTTTCACTGTGATAACAAAAAGATAAATACGTTGATGTAACTGTAATATGAGCGTTAAATGATATTTATACCAACAACATTTAAAAATTCCACAGCACCCTTACTTAAAACTTCATATTTTTGTGTGCAAATTAGTCAATTGAATCATCGATATAGATCTGAATGGTTTAATCTATTTTGAACAGTGAGTCTTTGGCGTGACTTTACCAGTTTGTGGCGTCATTATATTTATTTCATTTGCATATCAAACAAACTAAAATATCTCAAGAGGTAAAGAAAAGTTATAAAATAACTTATTTCACAGTTTAACGAATTCTTTCTCTCTCAGCAGACTTGAATTTCATTGCTCTTACCCTTTAAGATTCATTTACGAATAACCAGATTGCAAGTTTAGAAATGCTCAGTTTGAAAGCAGCAGTATTACACAACAGACCTGGCGCAAACTGATGGTTTTTTTCAACTTCGTGGTGAGTTTTGTTGGTAGTCGGATAGTTGTATTAGACATCCCTACCAGGATTGTGTTCTCCGAAGTAAAGAATGCTTGTGTTATTTACTATTTTAAAGAACGAGCAGGTATGAACACGAGGCAACATCCAAGTGTTTTATATCTGATAAAGCACGGACTTCGAGTGTTTGAAAACGACCCATCTTATGAGTTCAATGGCGAAGTGATTTTGAAAA